AAATGGCTAATATTTATTAAACCCTGCCTCATTTAAGTCATAACTAACCCTAGTTACATAGATACCATTCTGCCTGCCCACAGTGGAAACTGGACTTAGGCAGGCCACCTAACTACTGAGTGTAGAGGAAATTTTCTGAATTCCAAGAGTGTTTTTCACCTGCACAGCCGGGAGCTCTCGTGATAAGTTGTACAATTGGTTTCCAGGTCTTTCTCTAGTCCTGAGAATCAGGAGTTACAACATGTTTTGTTTTAATTATCATAGAAACATTAAATACGCTTCAAATGATTAATCACAAGTAAAATATTTTCCTTTCTAAGTATTTTGACCTTTTTAGAGATAAATCTGGTGACATTCAGCCACATTACAAGGCTATACTTGAGATGATGAAATAAATACATTGGGTATGTTGACCTGAGTGGTGTGTGTGTGCCATGTGAGCGTGTGTGTGTGTGTGTGTGTGTGTGTGTGTGTGTGTGATTGAAGGCAGAGATTAATCCTCTTGGGAATACTAAATATGGGGCTAAGGATTTAGGGAAACTTCAGCTTTGAAATTTGAGTCCCTGAAGAAGGGACTAGTAAAGAATTGGGAGATAGTAGGAAGGAAATTGGTCTCACTTATACGCATAAAGTAAAGGATTCCTGGCCCTTAAACTAAGCCAGAGATAGCTGAGTCACCCAGCTAACCTTCGTGGTCTTCCTTCTAGTAGGGCCTGGGATGCTATGGTTTCTGTTCATTTTTGATGACGTAAGATAGTGGATTAAGATGTACTCTCCTTGGTAGCCTCTTCTCCTGTGGTCACTATTGAAGTGACCAGGTCAGTCTCCACGTTGCGTTGGAGAGTGCTTTCGAGGCCACATGCCCACAGGCACCCTTCTACCATCCTCCAGCGTCAGCCCTAACCACCACTTTGTCTAGAACTCTGACTGTAGTGACTGGGTTAGCCTTGAGCTTCTGAGTGCCCTAGGCACAACCTGACACATGAGAAAGAAAACAGCCCTGGAAGTAACTGAAGCTGTTGTTTCAAATGAGCAACTGAGCAAAGAACAAGTGCATTTGGGGACGTGGAGGATTCTGGGCGCAGCCTGTGTGGGTTCCACACTGGACACGGCTGGGGGCAAACCACCACTGACTGGACACTGAGGGGGTTTGGCTGTTTGCCTTCTGTGTTCTGCTTGTCTCTCATGTTTGGACTTCCTCCTTACCCTGAGCCGGGACCTGAGCAGGAGAGCTGAAGTAACTAACAGTAAACGCAACAAGCCTTTCCTCAAGGGTCTCCAAAATGGCCGCAGAGGATGGCTGGAAGGGTGGTGGTGAGAGCAGATGTTGCCTAGCAACTGGTGTCATAAAATAGAAACTACAGGCAACTGCACCTGTGAAAAGATTGTGTTAAAGAAACAGGATGGCTGTGGTTTGCTGTGAGCATCAGTTTTCCCGGAAGTTGAAGAGCAAAACCCAATTTAATTTAATTAGTTTAATGGTTTTCAATCTTAAAGACATCCAACTTGGTTTGTATTGTGGAGTCTCTAAAGAATAAAATCAAGAAGGATTTTTCCAGTAGGAATATCAAAACTCCAAGCTTTTGAAAAAAAAAGTATGATTTATGATTCTTAGCAGCAATTTCATATTACTAAATAAGTTTATGTGCCGTTGAGTAGATCCTTGGCTTCTGGGTTGAATGCCCTTGCATTTTATTCATTTTTATGGTTGTAATAACAATGTGAATGTAAGAACTTTGACTTATTTAAACATTATTGAGTTATATGTATTCTAAAACTTATGTCAATATCTTGTTCAAATGTGTGTGGGGGGGAGAGAAAGAGAGGGAGAAACACATTTCCCCAGCCTGAGAGAGGTGTGAATAGGTGCCCAAGCATGCATACATACATACATACATATATCATACATACATACATAGATACATACATTTATAAGCTAGGAGGATGTACATCAAAATAAGAACAATTTCTGGGGATTCTTTACCCCAACTCCCTTTTAATCTAAAAGTTAATTATTACTGAATGCTTTCTTTTCTGAGGACAAATAACTCTTGGTGTATTTCTGTGTTGCCTGTTATTTTCCACATTCAGGGGGAGAAAATAACAAAACGAAGTTGGAAGGGAGCCAGGAGCACGCAAGCAATCATGAAAATAAATTAAGGGTGCTATATATAGACTGTTGTTGGACTTGAATGGAAATTATGGAAAGAATATAAAAATACCGAGGGCAAGAGAGCAGTTGGCCCTTCGGGTCTGTTGCGTGGTTTCTGCGATGCCCTCCCCCATCCTCCCACACACAGGGCACACAAAGCACCCAACTCTTTGAGCCCTTTCGCGGAGAAAGGCCACTTTTCCTCTATTCCGTTTTATGTAGCATAGTGTTTAAGGGCCACTTCTGGCAATGTTTACAGAGCAAGGTGCTCTGAGTTTTCAAACAGCCCACAGCGGTTTAAACAAAAGCAAAAACAAAGAAAAAACTAAAACATAACTGGATCGAGCCACTTCCGGTCTGCTCGAATGGAACCCCGCCCCCACCCCCAGACTTAGAAAGCCCCTTCTGAGGTGTACCCGGTGGGTTCATTGGAAATCCTCTCTTCGGATTATTCAGCGGTATGGGTCTCATAGAGTCAACTACAAATTGAATTCTGAATTGGTTTTAGACGAAGAAGCAGCTTATTTAAATGACTAGCAAATTCGCTCAGTCCCCCAAATTGGTCATCTCATGTTCAGGGATAATTCTGTCTTCCTAGCCTATTGAAGAAGGTGCCAGCTTCCTGGGGCAAATGGTGGTTGAGCCGCTCTAGAATAGGGAGTGGGCTAGTGATTCTTCATAACCAGCCCTGCATTTGGGTCCCAGCTGTGAGATACCCAGGTGCTTTAGGATCAGGGTGTGACATCTAATGCAGTGTTGAGCCATGGTGTTATGCTTTTAAAATATTCCCTTTGTTTTGGTCACCCAAGTTCCCAAGCTCCTGATTCCATCTGTGGACCCCGTGGGTGTGAGGATCCAGACAGGAATGTCTGGTCTGTTCGGGTCTGCACCCTGGTTCCAGGATCCTTCAGGAAGGCTGGCTCTGACTGATGTAGGCTCTCACTTATGTAGGCTCTGACTGATGTAGGCTACACTGGAGAGCCCTAGTTTTCAAGGTTTGGGGGTTTTAATTACCCCCAGGAAGTCCCAGGCAGCCATAAAAACAAGTCCCAGCAGTTAACAGCTAGCAAGCCCCGAGACATGCAACCTTCGAGGCCTCATAGAACAGTAGGTGTACTGTGGACCATTCCAAACCAGTGCTTATGCACCCCTTGCTCCTTCCCTGAATGTATTTAGTGAGAACCTTACTTTATATGATTGGTGCAGTCCTTAGTCTAGTAAGAAGACAGCCAACGTGTGGGCCTGGCATTGAGCCCAGCGTGGGGAGACTCAAAATTGGTATTCCTTGATCCACGTGGTGAGTGATGTACCAACACTGGCGTCTGGGATTCCTGGGATTTTAGAAACGCTTCCCCTAAGGGTCAGCCTGGAAGGGTCCAGACAGTGTTTAGAAGCTACTAAGCTCAAGGGCAAGGGTGAGCACTGGGCGAGTGCGGGGATGGTTCATCTGGAGTGGCAGAGAGGTCCCTAGTCTAGGACATCTTCGAAGAATTCCTGCCTAGGTAACAAGCACGCTTCACCAAAAAACTGCTTAAAACGGCAGGGAGCAGGGCGGAGTAGCCCAATGGGAGGGCAGGGAGCAGGGCGGAGTAGCCCAATGGGAGGGCAGAGACTAGAGGGACATGATTCTAAAGAACAAACTTGGGGATTTTCGGTGAGAGACTCAGTTTTTCTAGTTCTTGGCATTCCTGGTTATAAGATGAGTGCAGCTGAGCTAGCTTGCAGTGTTGTTGAAGGTTAGTGACCGAGTAAATAACCCAGAAAATACACTCGCTGCCCCGCCCCCGGGGTCTCAGGGTAGCAGGGGGCGGGGCTTGCTGTGTAGACCAGACTCACTGTGTAGCTTCTGATCAGCCTTGGTTCTCCTGCTTCTGCCACCTAAGTACTTGGATTGCAGGGGTGCCCCCACCACGCTGGGCTGAGTTAGCTCCCTTTGAAGGGAATGAGTCCCAGATGTCTTCGCTCCTGTTTCGAAGCAGGTGTGAGGAATCTTGCAACACTGTTCACAGGAAGCAAGCTGTCCTGCAGTATTTCAATGGAGGGCTTGTTTTAAGGTGTAAATTTTCCACATCAACTTTTTAGTGGTTGAGAGCTAAATTAATATTTAAGCTCTAAGATATTGTTTTCTGCTGATGGGAGAGGTTATTGAGAATAAAGGCAAATAGTTACTGTGTTTAGAATTTGGGCATTAGAACTCAGGCTGCTTACTGGCTTAAAGCTCAAACTGTGTAATAAAGATTCTTAAATTTTAATGCTTTTGACTCATCTAGGATTTTTTTTTTTTTTTTTTTTTTGGTTTTTATATTTCAAGACAGGGTCTCTCTGTTTAGCTCTGCCTGTCCTGGAACTTGCTCTGTAGACCACCAGGCTGACCTCACACTCACAGAGATCCACCTGCCTCTGCCTCCCGAGTGCTGGGACTAAAGGCGTGCGCCACCATCACCCGGCAGCTGACTAGGGATCTTACTAAAATGTTGGACCTGAGTCAAGGGAGAGCACAATATATTTTATGCAAATGAGTGAGGAAGGGGAGGTACTACTTGAAATGTCTTTGACCAGACTGGGATTCATTTCCAGTAGATTCCAGAAAAATCTTCCTGCTTCTGCAGGCACAGGCTCACAGCCACCTCCCTGTACCACTGTGGCGGGGCAGAATTGAGCAGCATTGGTACTGGGTATGACTCTAGGTCGCCCGGCATCCCCTCCCACCAGAGCCCCTCCTAAACAGTCCTACCGGAGCAGTGAGGGAAGGGTCCGTCCCATCCCCTTCTTCTGCCGCAGAAGAGTACGGAGGTTCGGACAGACATTATCGGATGATCTAATACACCGGTGTGTTTTGTTTTCACAGATTTATCCACAAGACTGCTGAAACTTTAGCTGTCCAAGATGCCTGTCCCTCCCCCGCCAGCCCCGCCACCGCCTCCAACATTTGCTCTCGTAAGTCCTTTTCTCTGTTCACTTTCTCTTAGGGGGAAAAAGCTTCTTAGAAAAGGTCTTGCTGCGTAGTCCAAGCTGGTCTGCAGCTCCTGTCTTCACCCCCCCAAGACCTGGGGTCATTTATGGAGGGTGCGGACACAGTGGCTTTCCCCCTTCGCTCTGTACATAAAGACGACCAAACAAAGTCAAACCCTCGCGTGGAGCTGTGCCCTAAGTGCGCTGGCATTCTGGCACAGGCCTGCTATAGAAGGTTTTGCCAGGGCCCCGTCTTTTCTGAAGTCAGAACCTAGCTGAGACCTCTCGAAGCCAGACAACACCAAGGGTGTGTTTGACCGAGGTCTCCTGGGATGCAGGCTGGGAGCCTGGAGTGTGGATTATTAGATTTCTTCTACCAGGTCCGTCAAGGCAAATGTGACGGTTTAGAATAAGGCTTTTCAGGGCAGCTCTGAAGCAGTACGCAGTGACCCTCTATCGAAATGAGCTCGATGCCTCGCTGGTCACTCCTGGGTGGGCTGATCCTGAGTGGTCTCTCTGCGATGTGCCCTGTGTCTTGCAGGCTCACCCCTTTCTCCACACTCTGTTCTGGACAGGCGATTTCCCCATCACCACCGCCACCTTTCCCACGCTCTCATGCCCGCTAAACCCGGCCTTGCGTCTAGATGATTACTTCCCCAAGGAATGTCGTCCCTGGACTCTTGGCCCTTTGATGAGCTCGTCGAGGCATTCAGTGCGTCCTCTTTCAGGAAGACTCCAGTTTACACCTCATCCCAAAGCCCCCTCCTCCGTGTGTGCCTTTGCTGCTTGGGAGCCACACGCTGATGGCCGACCCCTTTATTTTTTGTATGGGGAGGGAAACTGAGCTTTGGGAGAAGATAAAGTCCCTTGTCCCAGGTTCCCATGGGACACGTTTATATAATTCTTCTGAGACGCCAGCCCACTAACAATTGGTCCCCCAGTTTCCTGAGAGAGAGTCGCTTAGGGCACAAGGACAGAAATTGTGTTTAAGCATTTAGAAATATTAATAGAAATTTGATGGGAGTTCGGTTTATTCTAAGGTAGGATTTGTGTATCTTTTTAACCAATTTGTTTTTATCGTAATTTATTTTTCTTTTTATAAGGATGTCAGCCCATGAACTTTTAAGCAGCCCTTGTGTGGATTGCTTAGAAAACACTCTTAGCTGGCTAATATGGCAGGATTAGTTTATCCGTATTTCTCCCAAAATGTGAGGTGCCTATCATTATTAATTGGCACATGGGTTAAGTTTTAGAATTTTAATGCTGATACATTTATTTTAATATGTGCTCTAAAAATTTATGATTGGCACATCAAAGCCAGGGGCTGATTTAAAAGCCAGTGATTTAATTTAAAAGAAAGTGTTCGTTAAAAAAACAGTACAGAAAATAACATAGTGAATGAATTTGATGAAAATATTAAATAAATAGCACAGTTTGCATGAGGAGAATTTTAAAATCGTGAACGTTGGACCTAAAGGATTAAAGTTCAGAGCCAGGTGCGGGTGGCTCACCTGTCATCTGAACTCCAGAGACTGAGGCAGGAGATTGAATAGACGCCAGCCAGGGATACAAACACAACTCAAAACAAGATCCAGGAAAAAGGAGGTGGTGGATTGGTGACCATCAGGGGATCCTGACAGATGCATCTCTGTGGTTTACCTTTCAGGCCAATACCGAGAAGCCCACCTTGAATAAGTCAGAGCAGGCTGGGAGGAACGCTCTTCTCTCTGACATCAGCAAAGGGAAGAAACTCAAGAAGACAGTCACCAATGACAGAAGCGCGCCCATATTGGACAGTACGTGAAAACTTTCCCACAGCGCTAAATGGTTTACAGCCTAACGGTTCCCCTCCCCCAGCCCCCTCATATTAACAACAGCTGCAAAGCTAGCAAAAGACAAGTCTGTGTTAGTCACTGTAGCCACAGCTTTGGCCTGAGCCCCCTCTAATGCTCCAGGAAGCCAGCATAATAATTCTTTGTCCAAGGAACACACAGCAGCGATTCTCTGAATTATTCATAGCACTTTCTGGAGATTAACCCGTTGCTCCTGGCATCACAGATGACCTGGCCTTCAAATCAGGATTCAGGGCCCTGCACAGCCACCGGGTCACAATTTCCAACCTTAATGTCTTCATTTGTAAAGTAGAGATGGTACCTCGTTACCACATGAGTCTCTTGTGAGCTTCAAATGAGATAAGGCTTATACAGTTCTCTGTTGTCTGCAAAGTACAACTCTAGAGAAAGATGTTCCCGGGAGGGTGGAGAGAGGAAGTGAGGTCACAGCTGTGCTTATCTGTGTATCTGAGCCCAAGAAGCCTTCTGCAGTCAAACAGGGTCTGTATAAGCAAGCAAGCACGCCTGATGTAAGCCTCCTCGTTGGTGTTTATGATCGAGTGAAAACCAGTCCTGAATGGATTCAGATCTCAATGCTGTCCTTAAAATACCACCAGGATTTGTCGTAGCCTCAGATCTCATTTAGACTCGAGGAAACGGACTGACCTGAAGCGCAGCTTTGCAGACAGGTGAATAAGGATGCAGGCTTTGGGAGGGTTAGTGGTGGTTAGGGCATCACGGGAAGGGACCTAACTGGTCGAGGAGGAAGTGGGTGGAAGGGGAGTCAGAGTCAGAAGAGAGAGAGAGAGGGAAATGGCAATGAGGAAGGTGAAGGCTTTGAGCAGGGCTGTGTTGTGAGGCACTGTGAGACCACACAGGGCTCAGAAAGGCACCCTGGGTTTCCAGCACTTGAACAAGATGCACGCCCCGCAGTGTTTCTTTCTGGGAGCCCAGCACAATTCTATCTGGGAAGCTCTGGCCCAACAGCCATCTGGGACAGATGACATCAGCTCTCTCCTCTAAGAGTCTGGAGCCTTGAAGAGTAGGTGTGAGTTTCTCGCCTCCTCTGACGGAAACTGGACAGTCTGGGCCCATCTCTGACTCCTAGCAGAAACCCCTCCTGGTTGTCAAAGTCCGTGCCTTCCATGGTACATACAGGACAAAGGTTCTCTTTTCCCCCCTCCAGCTCAGTGAGTGGTTCTGAGAGGTGTACGTCTGACAGACGGAAGCAATATCCCAATGTATGCCTTCGTTGTCCCTGCACGTAGCTGAATAGCTATAATGCTATCCAGGCTCTTTGCAAATAACAAAATTCATCCATGGCTTTGTATTCATTTGCATGCCAAACCTCCCTGGGCGCCGTCTCTAAGGGCTTATGCACAAGAACTTTTAATTCAGCCCTGTCCTGCTGCTTATACTAAATGGCCTGGTGCTAGCCAGCGATCCTCGTATCAGTCCACTCTCTGCTACTGTAACAAATGCCTGATACCAAGGACTTTAGAAGGAAAAGAAACTGATTAAACTTAGACTTTAGAGGTTTGAGAGTATGGTATTGGCCTTGGCGTAGCTCCGATGAGGACCTCGTGGGGATGGTGTTATTACAGCGATGGCAGAAGTACAGGCATAAGGCAGACCATGTAGCAAGACAGAAAACCAGGGAGGGGGAACAGCCAGTCTTGCTGTTTTATAATAAACCCTTTCAGAACCAGCTAGAGTCCTATGAAACTGCATTAGTTCCCTCTGAGCCCGGCCCCACACACAATGGCCTAGTTATTGCCCATCAGCCCCTATTTCCTAAAAGTCACACTGCCTCTCTCATGAATACACTGAGGACTAGGTTTCTCACACATGAGCCTTGAGCGATATGTGTATAAATGGTACCCAAACCATAGGACTTCCCTATATGAATGGTGGGCGGAGCTCAGGTAGACAAAGAGTGGATGTGTCTTACAGTACAGCACACTTTCAGTTTACAGTACCATGTAAATACAGCCTGTGTGTATGTGTGATGTATCATTCAGCGATGAATAATATTTGAATGACAAGGACAATGTTATGGTATTGGTAGTTAGTGTTAGTAAAAATTTTAAACTTCATTCTAAAACAAACACTCTAGAAATTGTTACTGTCATTGGGTTTGGCCTGCTAGGTAAAGTAGTCCTTGCCAGTTCAGTATTAGATTATGTCTTCAGGAGAGGAAAGATGGAGGGCTAATGACTAATTTAGAAAAGCACATGAATGAATAAAATCTCAGAAGGTCAATAAAGAGACTTGAAACATTTTCTAAAAGTAGGCTAGGATAATGAAGTCACGTGCTGAGCTAGCTCCAGAGAGTTCCTCTGAGTGATGGGAGTGCAGGTGTGCTTCATGCTGCTCGGCTCAGCCTAAAGTCCTGAAGAAACGAATTTCCTAAGAAAGCGTGAATTTACCAAACTTTACTCAGGAAGCCTGCGTAAACAATGAAATAGATTGAAACTGTCTAAGATTATTTTCTCTCTGAAAAAAACTGTGGAATCAAATGGCTTTTATTAGTAAGAAACGGCTAATTCAAATGCTGCGTGAGTCGTTCCAAGTGGGAAGCCACAGAGAGCTCTCTAGTAGGTGCTGTGAAGCTGTTGTCATCCCGATTAGCAACACGTAGCAAAGACGGCCCACACAAGAAGTCTGCAGGCTGGTGGTTTCCCGCAGTGATCCTGCTTCCCAGAGGATCTGTGGCAACGTCTCCAGACATTCTTGTGAATGCTCTGTTTCCTTTCCCTGGTTTCATTTTGTCGTGCGGATGGAAGTCATAGCCAAGAGCATGTTAGGTAAGCTCTCTACCACTGAGTTACCTGCTAACCCTGTACGACATTCTTAGCCCTCCACCTGGGTAGGACGGGAGGCTTCTCCTGGGGAGAGGTCAGAGACAGTGTGAATGTTCTATCAGGCGCGGGATAGCCACCCAAGCGGTCCACACAGGAGTTCCAGAAATAAAAAACTGACACACACCACTAATCATGAACAAGAAAACACTAAGCAAAAAAAAACTAGTAAGAATAATTCATCAAGACCAAAGATAATCCCATTTTTCGGTGTTAGATTTAAAATCTGTTCTTCATATCAAATAATAAAAACCATATAATCAACTCAGTAAATGCTAAAGAGGTATTAGAGAAGATTCTGTATTCTAAGTCTTTAAACCCAATCTAGAAGGAACCTTTTAGACAGTAAATATTTAAAACAAACAAACAAATGAAAGGGGGGAAAAAAAACTCTGGAAACCTAATAGTTAATATTTAGCTTCAGACTACGGGTGGTCTCATTAAAATCAGAGCATGGTTACCATAGCAACATTGATAATCCACATTGTTTAGGAGGTTCAGCCATCAGAGTAATTATTTACGTAAAACAGAAAGAAGGGACACAGCTCTTAGAAAGGAGACCTTTATTATTTGAAGACTGTATGCCTACTAGAAAAAGAAGGTCATCCATTTTTTTTGTAATTTTTAATTAAAATGTACAGCAGAGTAGCTAAATCAAATCAAATTTCTTGGTGCCCATAATAACTAAGTATGAAATAATAGGAAAATGCCCTTTTTAAAATTTTAAAGCATATGTACACACGTGTGTGTGTGCAGCGTACATCTTTGGAGGAACTCTACTGAGAAGCCTGTGTAGCCCATCTATATCATACAAACGACGGTGCACGCCTTGATCCCACCACTCAGAAGGCAGAGGCGGGTAGATGTTCGTGAGACCCAGCAGTTTACACTAGCGAGTTCAGAACAGCTATACGGTGAGGCTCTGTCTCAACACACACACACACACACACACACAATTGCAACCCCACCAATCTAAAAGACACAAATAAATAGCAAATTTTGCTTTGTTTCCAAGTGTAAAATGTAAATATTGCCTACATGTGGGTTACTGCCAAGGAATGTGTAGATCTCAGCCACATGATGCTTCTGCCGGACTAGGTACAGGTGGGGGAAATAGGGCATTTGGTGGTGGTTATTCTTAAACACACACATATGTACATAAGTTACTAAAAAGTTGAATTTTTAAAAAGCATATGTCTCTCATATAAAATGAATGTGCCAGAATTTTTTATTTAGCATTAATTAAGCGTCTGTCATCAGTTCAAAGGAGCTACAGAGTGTCATGAGTGCAGGCTCACTGAATGAGGAGGGAGCTTACGGCCTCCATGAGTGAGCAGCTGCATTCAGCCCAGTGTGGCGATTCCTGTTTCTTTAGACTAATCCAATTGGCACTGCTCTAGTTATGACTCTACAGTGTAGGAAATAACCCGGAAGCCGGACAGAGTGGACAGGTCACCTCTTCTCCTCCTCCTCTTCTTCCTCATGTTTGCTTGTTTACTATTTCAAAAAATCTTTCACCATTTTTGCAAATAAATGCAAAATAAAACAAAATCTTATTAGTTTGCAAAGAATTTTAAATTGTTGAGTCTTACACTTGGACTCTACGTTAAAAAACAATCGACCTAAAAGGCCATCGGTTAAGGAGGCGGTTAGACAAACAGTGCATTCATGTTCTGAAATCCCATGCAGCCCTTTCCTTTTTTCCACTTTTCTCTTTTTTTTTTTTATTTTATTTTTTGGTTTTTCAAGACAGGGTTTCTCTGTGTAACAGTTCTGGCTGTCCTGGAACTTGCTTTATAGACCAGACTGGCCTCGAACTCACTAAGATCTGCCTGCCTCTGCCTGCCTTTGCCTCTCAAATGCTGGAATTAAAGGCGTGCGCCACTATTACCTGGCTATTTTTCACTTTTATAAACGTATTTTTGGTGAGAGAGAGAGAGTGTGTGTGTGTGTGTGTGTGTAGCTATCAGGTTGTGTGCATGTGTGGCTGTGTGACTGTGTACTGTGTACATGTGTGTGTGGCTGTGAGGTTGTGTGTGTGTGTGTGTGTGTGTGTGTGTGTGTGTCCGTGGAGTGTGTGCGCAGGCGGGCAGGTGATGCAGCGCTCCTATGGAAGTCAGAGAGGACAACTCTGTCGTCTCCTTCTGTCTTGACATGGGTGGATCAAACTCAGGCCGTTCTCTCCTTTCACCATGTGGGCCCCAAGGAGTGAACTCAAACTGTCAGGCTTGGGTGCCAGGTACCATTTCCCACAGAGCCATCTAACTGGCCCAGAGTTGATAATTTTTAAGAAAAACATAAAGATGAAAAAAATGCTGAGAAAAATACATGGCAATAATGGGCATTCCAAGGAAATATTCGCTATTTTGTGTTTTCTCTTTGTTCAGTTATTTCTCTTGCATTCTCCCATTTGATTTCTTATCACCCTATTGTTTCTGCTGTTTTGTTTTATATTCCTCTTTTGTTTATTTGTTTTAAGACAGTCTGTGTAGCCCAGGCTATCCTGGTCCTCACTATATAAACTAGTCTGGCCTAGAACTCAAGGTTCTCTTGCCTTGGCCTCCCAAGCACAAGCTTGCACAGTGAGTCACCACTTGCTTTCTTTTGTTTAGCTTCCCCTCCCCTTCCCTTAAGAGTCTCGCTGAAGATGATTTTACTTGCTCATTGTTAGACTGTAAAGCAAATAGATCCCTTAACTGAGTGAAGACGCCATCCTCGGGTGCCTGGCATCAGCCTGCTGCTTCATCGCTGTGTTATGGCTTTCCTGAAGCTAGGACTGCTAAATACCCCGCGTTTTCTCATGTGTATTTTCTTCTTCTACAGAACCAAAAGGAGGCGGTGCCAGTGGCGGTGGTGGCTATGGTGGAGGCGGTGGCGGTGGTGGTGGAGGAGGCGGTGGTGGTGGCGGTGGAAATTTCGGAGGGGGTGGACCCCCCGGACTGGGAGGACTATTCCAGGCTGGAATGCCGAAGCTGAGGTCCACCGCCAACAGGGATCATGGTATCTAGGATTCTTTCTCTGATGCTCAGAACCAGGGGCGATATGGCAGTTAGGAGGCTTGGAAGACCTGCCTGAGGCTCTGCCCTTTAAAAACATTATATCGTTTAAGATGTCACCCTGTTTTATGAGGGACTCTGCCCTGGCTTCTCCCCTTCATCAGTCAGGACCAGGCAGTCCTGGAGAGTTATGAAATATTTGGACAGTATCCTTAGGGTAGCCCATTCTCTGTGCTTTTTCTAAAGAGTGAGCTGGAGCCCGGAGAATGGAGAAGGGAAGTGGGGGATGGGACCAGGAACCTGGGGGTGCAGCTTTCTCTATAAAGCCTATCTGGCTGTCTGGAACAACAAACACCCTCTTCTGGCCTCCAAGGGCACTGTAAACGTGATAAAGCATACAGGGACTAGGTAAATCCTCAGAGAGACTTACTGGGGAGTAACTACATTCACTCACCTAAGATGGCTGACTGAATTAATTTTCAAGTCTAAGAAGTACAAGCACAGGGCAATAAAGAAGGCAGGGGGGCCATGACAACGTTGAGCACCAATCTGTTATCCATGCCTTCTCATAGCATCCTTTGGTTGAGGCCGGCTGTAATACCCGTACTGGGTCTCTGCCTTCAGGAGACCCACACAAACATTAACTAGTTTAAGTTTCTAAAGCTGGTAGGTTACTGATCATCAGTAGCTCTGTGGGAAAGGGCCACGCGCACCCTCGGCCTCCGGCTTACTTAGGGCTCCTCACTTTTCGACCTGGTGTGTGTTTTCTTGTCCTTTAGATTCTGGGGGAAGCCGACCACCAATTTTGCCACCAGGAGGAAGAGCCACATCTGCCAAGCCCTTTTCGCCCCCAGGCGGCCCGGGGCGGTTCCCCACACCCTCACCAGGACACAGGAGTGGTCCCCCAGAGCCGCCCAGGAACCGAATGCCTCCCCTGAGGCCTGACTTGGGCTCCAAACCCGATAGCCTTCCCCCTCCGGTACCAAATACGCCAAGACCCATTCAGTCAAATCTGCACAACCGGGGATCCCCGACAGGGCCGGGAGCCCCCAGGCCCCCCTTTCCCGGAAACCGAGGTGCTTTTGGAGCCGGCTCTGTACGCCAGAACCCCTCGAGCTCTTCCTCTCCGTTCTCCAGGCCCCCTCTGCCCCCCACCCCAGGCCGAGCCTTGGATGACAAGCCCCCTCCACCACCTCCTCCCGTGGGCAACAGGCCCCCCATCCACAGAGAAGCTGTCCCACCTCCTCCCTCACAGAACAGCAAACCTCCGGTGCCTTCCACCCCACGGCCTGTGTCCGGGTCACAGGCACCACCTCCTCCGCCACCGCCCAGCCGGCCCGGCCCTCCTCCCCTGCCTCCGTCTTCCAACGATGAGATCCCGAGGCTGCCACAGCGGAACCTGTCCCTTTCATCCTCTGCGCCGCCTCCCTTGCCTTCACCTGGACGCTCTGGGCCTCTCCCTCCCCCTCCCAACGAGAGGCCCCCTCCTCCAGTGAGGGATCCACCAGGCAGATCAGGTATGGCAAGACTGGGGGCCTCATGTCCCAAACAACGCTTAAGTCAAAGACAAGCAAAGCTGTGGATGCCGTCTGATCTCCGTAGGTGTGCCATGGCACACACACACACACACAAATAATTTTTATTTAAAAAACTTAGTTCTTCCAAAGACCTAAACTAATTTTATAACAATCCTACTCCTTTTTAAAAATTCTTTTTATGGTGTCACAAAGCTTAGTTCAAAGCTCCTTTAAAAGGATAAATGCTTTTTAAACAGCACAGTTGTCGATATAAACAGATTATTACCTGTTTTTCGTCTCACCGGTTCTCTTCGGCCTCAGAGGTAGCTTGGAGCCGTACAATGTGGATATAAGGCCGTGCTGCATGCAGTAAATGTCTCGTCTTCTGCTCCAGGCCCCCTCCCGCCGCCACCTCCAATAAGCAGAAACGGAAGCGCCCCTCGGGCCCTGCCTGCCACCCCTCAGTTGCCATCCAGGAGTGGAGTGGACAGTCCCAGAAGCGGGCCCAGGCCTCCTCTTCCTCCTGACAGGCCTGGTGCTGGGGCACCGCCCCCACCCCCACCGGCAACGTCAGTTCGGAATGGCTTCCAAGACTCATCTTGTGAAGGTGTGTGTGTTTGCTCATTTGAAGTGCTATTACTTGTTTTGACATTGGTATCCACACTGCACCCAGCTGATACCTGGTTCTCACTAGCTAGTATAGTGAGGCTCCCTATGACCTGTTGAGTTAGATAGCCTTTCTGTTTCACTTCCCAAAAAGACAGCTCATTTTTTTTTCTAGTTTGTTGTTTGTGACTCGCTTATCAGAGATTCCAATGTAATTCACCAGAGATTTTGTTTTTTTTTTATTTTTATTTATTATGTATACAATATTCTGTCTGTGTGTATGCCTTCAGGCCAGAAGAGGGCACCAGACCTCATTACAGATGGTTGTGAGCTACCATGTGGTTGCTGGGAATTGAACTCAGGACCTTTGGAAGAGCAGGCAATGCTCTTAACCACTGAGCCATCTCTCCAGCCCTCACCGGAGATTTTGTAATGTTTATTTCCTGTTTGTTTGTAAATTACCATCTTATGCCCTACTTTTCTCAACAGTTGGCTGTGGGTAAGGAAGAGTGGCCCACGGTTATGAGGTTGCTTCCCTCTGCTGTGTTACCAGTTAGGCTCAGTTGTTCTTCCAGAGGACCTGGGTTTGATTTCCAGAACCCACAGGTGACTCACAACCATGTGTACCAGTTATTTCTCGACCCACTGGTGCGAAGAAAAATGCCCTGTGTCTTAGCCCCAGATCCTGAGAGAGACCTGCTGCATTCACCATCTCTCCGGTTCAAATCATTCATTCTACCTTGCTTTGCAGGACAGGATCAGCGAGGGAGCGGGGCACCCTGGTCATACTGTCCGCGTCTCTGTGCGCTCCAGCTATGAAACGGGAGCTGGTTTCTGAGCAGTCTGTCTCCTTGTCTTCCTAGCAGGTTTCTTACGCTGAGATTGTTTGTTTCTCCCCCAGATGAGTGGGAAAGCAGATTCTACTTCCATCCGATTTCTGATTTGCCGCCTCCAGAGCCATATGTACCAACAACCAAGACGTACCCCAGCAAACTGGCCAGAAATGAAAGCCGGAGTAAGTGTCTCTGCTAGGGCCTTGTGTAGGCCCATGCTGTGAGAGCCTGGCTTCGGCCTGAGTTGTGCGGGAATGCTGGGCCTCTTGCCTGGGGAGGAACTTTCTGTTCCATTTGGAGCTGTCTGCACTCTGGTAGCCTCTCAGATACAGCCAGAATGAGAAGTGACTCTCTGAAGGTGACATTACCATCTCAGAACACCTCTGCTGTATCAGGGTTAGGTTCTATTCTTGTGCTTCTTTGGGTAATCGCCCCCATTTTGACCTCCTGAGGACAGCAAAGGGCAATTCATCTTCTATTTCTTCTAGAAATATCATATAAATTAAAATACTGCCTTGATCTTTTAAATGTTTTTTTGTGGGATAGCATATGAAGATATTGACTAGATCCATAATCTCGCAGAACAGATATTTTGTATTTCCCAGATTCTCTTCCTGTTGTTATCCATCTAATTCTGACCTTTTACACAGCTGTAATGACTGTAGACCATTTTTGGTGATCGATTTTCACATAATACCGCTGAGTAAACACGCCCCTGTGTTCTCGCATGGATTTTATTCCACGGGCGTCCGTTAAGTCTGCATACAGGAATCTGCCAGGACTGCACATCTGGTGGTTTCTCACGGCTCGCTCTGTCTGCACTGCCTGACATAATGCAAAGCAAAAGGGTGAAATAGACACATTGGAACTGCACAGCAGAACCTGCACAGGATGAAACAAAAATTAACATGAACTGTGCAGAAGTAGCCCTGATGAGGTTGACGCTCACAGAGGCCTAAGTCAGCAGTGAACACCCCACCCATAGGTACCCAGGGTCCCTCCTAGACTTTCGGAGCCACGGTGCCTCTCTCAGCACACAGCTCTCCCGTAGATGTTGGTCGGTGGGTTCCCAGCCTTTGAGCAGGTTAATATCAGCGGAGAGTAAGGCTGATTGGAAGTAGAGTCGCTGATTTCAGGAGGAACTTACCCCAAAAATGGCAGTGCCAGGTCAAAGGAGGAGCCAGAGCCACAGAATTGTGCCTTGGCTACAGTGCAGGGCCCTGCCAGCGGTTTAGTGTGGATAAATGAAACAAATCGAACATTTGGTTTGTGCCTCAGACTTCAAAGAGTTAGGAAATATTGGGAATTTCCCAAGAACAAATGCCAGAAATAAAATATTGTTACTTGAAAAAAAAAAAAACCTCTAATCCTAGAAATTTCATTTAGTTGGAATACTGCATTTGTAGGCAGGCATGCCCAGAGTTAGAAGTATAAGGAAGCTATCGTGTTGGTGGTTGAGGCTTCAGAGAAAAATACGCCTTCCTGTGGAACAGATGCCTTTGGCTGTTTTGTGAAGAGTGTGTGTTAGTGTGGGTTTGTGTTTGCAATAGGGCATTGTTAAGGGAACTATAATGATTTCACTGAAGGAGTTGTTTAAATTCTGTATTTCCCCCATTTCTCTTAAGCATTCTTAGTAGAATTTAAATCAATAGCAGAACCACCATCCCATGCCCTCTAGATTTTGGTGTTATAGCTGAACATATATATCCCTTCCCCGTCCTCCTTTCTCTGTGACTCCAGTGTGTAATTTGAGCAGAACAATGGCCTGGGCCCCATTACAGATTTCTTGAGTGGCACAGACCCTGAAAGATAGTAGGCATCTAAAATAGTTTTTAAATTGGTAATTTTTTTTACTGCCACCCCCAATTTTACAGATTTGCATTCAATATTAATAGAATGTACTTAAAACAAATTTCTTGTTTGTTTTTTGAGACAGGGTTTATCTGTGTAACAGCCCCGGCTGTTCTGGAACTCACTCTGTAGACCAGGCTGGCTTCCAACTCACAGAGATCTGCCTGCCCTTGCCTCCCGAGTGCTGGGATTAAAGCCATCATGCCCGGCTCCATTTACAACAATTTTTAATAGCGAATTATCTAATGAAAAAATTCTAGCAGATAACACATTTTATTCTGCTCCTCTGGCTGCCTCGGCCTCTCAGACAAAGTCGGGGCACACTTTGAATGGTCCCTTGTTGCGGTATCGTACAAGGCCATTTCTTATCTCACTGGCCACTTGTGTATCATGTGACAGTCAGGTGGCATGACTGATGGCTGACTTACATCCAGATAAGTCTTTGTGCAGATGATTTCTCAAGAAAAGATTTAGGGGGCTGGAGGGATGGCTCAGAGGTTAAGAGCACTAACTGCTCTTACAGAGGTCCTGAGTTCGATTCCCAGCACCCATATGGTGGCTCACAACCATCTATGATGAGATCTGGTGCCCTCTTCTGGTGTGCAGGCATATGTGTGAGCAGAACACTGTATACATAATAAATAAATAAATAAATCTTAAAAAAAAAACTTATTTGGAATAGCGAAAGGAAGAGGCAAGAATGGACTGCCGTGTTTTCCTTGCTCATGCTCTATCCTAAAGTCCCTGAGTACAGTGTCCAGGCAGACCTCTGGTGGACCTGCCCAAAGCACTGGAGCATCTAGCTCCGTGCACCCTGCCTGCTAGATCCTCCAAGAAGCATGGCAGGTGAATGAACATTTTTGCATGTGAGTGGATTTTAAACCTGGTCCCAGGCAATGATGACTCACAAGTGGGCTTTCATGGCTTTAAAACGGACACAGTTATCGAGTGAAAAGGGAAACACAGGAAATATTTGGTAATCATATCTCACGAGAGATTCATATGCAGAATGTATAAGGAATCAAACCAAATGGGGCTGGCGAGACTGCTTACTGGGTAAAGGCCCTTGCTGCTGCAAGCCTGACCTCAATCCCAGGGACCCATGTGGAGGGAGGAGAGAACCCAACTCCCATAAGTTGTCCTCTGAACATGTTGTGGAACACTCGTACCCCCTATATATACAATAAGTGTAAAATAGTCTTTAAAAGTTAAAAGTAGATTCAACACTTCAGTAGATATTTTTAAAGAAGATATGTGTATGGCTGATAAGCAATATGAAAAATTGCTCAACACCACTGATGTTTATGGAAATGTAAGAGGCCACAGTGAGCTACAACTATCCTAAATCCATTAGCCTAACCACCCCCCACAAGAGACTGACCTATAGGACAGTCTATACAATACAATTCAGTATGCCAGCAATAATTATATTTTCGTGAGTATTAGCTTTGGAAAACATTCTAGGATCCCAACTTAGAATCCTGCTTCTGAGAAAAAAAAAAGGCAACTGTGTCTAAATGGAAAAAACACACATAATGTTGACCTGGGGAACAAGCAGGTGTGAACGTTTTGTTCGTCTGTATTTTCTAAGCCTTTAATCCATACACACTATATGATGAGAAGAAACACATCTATTCTCGCATCACTGTAAGGAGATACTCAGTCGCCACACCCATTTGCAACCACCTCGGAGTCTCCACACTAAACACAAGCTTCTAAACAAAATTGTATTTCATCTGTTTTTGTTTTTGTTTTCATCAAGGTGGATCCAACCGAAGAGAAAGGGGAGCCCCACCCCTTCCTCCCATCCCGAGGTGATCTCTGCCTGCTCTTCTCTACCCGAGCTCCGAAGCTGCTTGTGTTGTTGCTGTTTGAATGCACACCCCTCCTCTTCCTTTGTCCCTCTCAGAGATGGAAGGTGGGGAGAACAGAAGCTGAGGTGGGGTTCTGTGATTTTGGTGGGGGAGGGAAGGGAACCAGGAAAGGTGCACCTAGCTGTTTGTCTTGTATATATTCTTGAGCTATTGCTTGCGTCAGCTGCATCCTGCCGGGGCTGGCAGCTGGGATCGATAAGCTTTTGTTGCAAGTAGGCAGAGATGAATTGTACCCTAGCCGTCAGCCCCACAGAGTCAGACGTTCACCGCTTGTTTGCTATGGGTTATAGTTGTTAAATTCCCTGAGAGATGGTTTTGTCCATACCTTTCTCGCTCACGCCACCTTCAGTCTGTTTCTGTGAACGACAGACCGCCTGCCCTAGCAAGTTGCTGAGCAAGCCTCACGTAAATAAAGCCCTGTGGTTGCAGGATATCCAATCTTTGGCAGAATGAGGTAGGCTCCAGGGCAGAGCTGTCCAACGGAAACATACTGTGAGCCCCATACCCAGTCTTAAAATGACCAGCAGCCATGTTTTATAAAGGTAAAAAGAAACAGGTGAAAAGAATTCCATTTTACTTAACTCTATGCATCTGAAATATCACCTCAACCTGTAATCAGTATAGGAATTATTAATGAGATATTAACATTTTTGGTACTAAGCCTTGACACTCCAGTGATTGTTCTGTACTTAGGACAAACACATCACAGGTTTCGGGTGTCCAGCAGCCACATGTGCCTATACCCCACACTGTCAGACCGTCTGGATCTGGAAGAGAGGAGCGAGTACAGAACCCTCCTGTCTAAAAAGGCAGAGTGAGATTTAGCAATTCAAGAGATGCCTCAAGACAGAGTCAGAACTCAGTACCATGTTTGGCAGACAGTTGAGACCTTGGATTTTGGTCCCTTATTTTGCCTTTTTCCTGAATATGTATGTACAGGTATTTCTTCAGAGTATCTCTGTCAGAAGTTGATCTAGTACAGTTTACAGTCGCATGGAATAAAGCAAAGAAACTGAAAGTTGGTGGGCGCTTCCCAGCTTAGGACCAGCTGGCTACTGCGCTCACTGCTCAGTTGGTCCGTTGTCTTGCAGATCTCCTTGTGGCCTTTAGTCCTCCACCTCAGAGCAAACTCCTTCCTCAGGGCCAAGCAGGAAAGGCCAGGAAGGCAGAGGAGGTATAAAACCAGAATTGTGGGAGAAGGGGACAGATTTGAGATGATGGGTAGAGCTCTACAAAACCCACAAGGGTCAAGGGGATTAAGGACCTTACCAGTAGAAACTGGGAAGAACTGGTTTTGAGTGTCTTGGGAGCATCCTTGTTCTGGATCTATGCAATTAAGTCCCACTACAGGACCACAGGAAGGACCAGACTTGCCTTTTTTATGTATATATAATGTGTTTACAAGATTTTACTGGGACTTTTAAATCTAGCCATAGAGTTGGAAAAGATTTCCATTTTGATGTTTGATATAGTTATGTTTAATATTACCATTGTCTGTTAGAGCACATGCCACATGTGTGCATCTACCTGAACTTTGGATTTTGGGTCCAGTGTATTATTGCTCACATGTTGCTGGGAGATGCTAACAAAAAAGAAAAAAAAATCAATCCAAAGAAATATGGAAAGACATTCCTATTTATAGAATAATTGTTTCATTTATGTGGAAGCAGAACTTAGAAGTTCTGATAGATGAAATGTCTAATAATTATGAAGTGACTGGTTTGAATATATTGTATTTTTGTAACTTTCCTTCCAAAGCCCTGAACTTAGTACTTAAGAGTCAGTCTCCCCCCCCACCATTTGTCTGTCTTCCATGAGAATGAAGAAATAACAAGCTTGACATTTTTTATTTCTAACAGTTTTATAATGTATTTCAAATTCTTTGAGCTGATGTTCACTACACTAAACATCCTTTTGATAGACTCTAAGTGACCCACTCTGCTAAAAATAGAATGGCTCCTTCCTTGCGCTATGTTTGGCAGGAAAACATGGGTCTGAATTTTTTTAAGGGGTAGTGAAAATCGGGCAGGTCCTAGTATGTCTCAATTTTTCGGGTACATTTCTAAATTAGAAGTAGGGTCACAGCTCAAAGTTGCCATTCACAATAAAGAAGTTTTAGAATGTATTTTTCAAAGACTGTTTCAGTAATACACCTCCATCCTTCTTCAGAACTCTGGAGATGTTCTGTGCTTAGCTTAACCTATGGCAGATCATAAAACATGACTATTTTCTTCCCTAAAATCAAAGCTTACGTGTATGTTTTTTCCATAATATTTCAAGTTATGTGTATTCAAGATGCGATACAGTATTTTAACATTCGTAAATCACTTTAAATGGAAATATATTGCAGTATTAAAATTCAGTGTTCAGTGTCTCCTTCACTATGCGTTTTATTTACTGAAAGCTGAGAAAATGTTTAACCCAATGGTGCCTTACTCTGTGATCTGAAAGGAATCGACTTTTTATGTCTAAGTAGTGGGTTATATGCATATTTGTAAAAACTATTAGGCCTTTATATTTTAACTTGTAATAGCAATTTTGTTGTTGTAATAGCAGAAACAGGGTGGTTATTAAAGTATCCTCAAATTTTGGGTATGAAATTAATTTTCCCTGTTTATGGGCAGGGGCTATAAAGGAATTTTTTCATACCAGCGCACTGTGTAAACAGACACACTTAGGTCTCTGTGTCAGCAGGCTAGTTGAATGGTAGGGTAGACTCTACCCTAGACACCTACATCTTTGTAAGTTAGCCAGACAATAAATAAAACACAAAATGATACGGTGTCAATTTGTGGCTTTCTTCCCTGTGTAAATATAAACAAAAGGGTGAATGTCTGCCTCCTGCTTTATGCTGTGGTGGAGACAAACTCAAGAAAGATCCTCTTCAGTAAGTAAACACTCATTACTCACCACACCTCAAGATCCCGTCGTGTTTGTTTTGCCCGAGACTGCATTGTCGTCAGCCTGTAACATGGGTACTGGAAGCCGTGGAAGAGGGAGACACCGACCAACATGGACACAAACAGATCTGGGAAAGCCATGGGAGCTTAGGAACCCGAGAGCTTCCTGAATCATCTGCCACGGACGGCACACGTGAGCCTTGCTTGCAGGCTTCTCAGCACAGCCCAGCAACTGAGCACATAGGAAGACCTGGCCACGTCTCTTTGTTTGAAGTCGTTGCTCTAACTCCGTGCTGTAGGTACAAAGTGAGGAACTGTCTATTAACACGTGTTAGACAAGGTGAAGCACTCGGCACAGATTTACCAGAGCAATGAGGTCTCCACCCTCCACTGGCAGTGCCGAGTAGGCAGCAAGCACTTCGGCGGCGATCCAAAGTTCCTGGAATGCCGTCAGCTGGAGGAGGATTTACTGCTGTGACTGCAGAGGAAACCAACAGTAGCAGAGAAATAGCCCCCACCAGGAGCACACGTTTCGGACTCACAGTTTGAGGATATGGGTCATTGTGTCAGGGAAAGCCTGGCTGCAGACTGGTCCCGGTGCCTCTGCAAGCCGGAAGGGGAGAGAATCAGTACTGGTTCCCAGCTGGCTCTCTCCTTCCTGTTCAGGCTGGGAACCGGAGACCATGGAATAATGCTGTGCACAGCTAGGGTGCAACACACACACACACACACACACACACACACACACACACACACACACCTTAATTAAAAGACTCTAGAAACTTGACAGTCACTCCCTGAGGCTTGTCTCCTAGGTGATCCGGGTTCTGCAGACAATATTAACCATCACTATCATGTTACCAGTCAGTTGGGTTCAATCTGAAGTCACAGAAAGTCAGAGCCAGAAAGAACCTTCTAGATTAGGGCAGCCACAGAACTCAGTGTCTTCTCCAGTGGGATACTTCTGAGTAGAAAGTGATGATAGGCTTCCATGGCACAGCAGGTAGCCACTGAGGCTGCCTCACAAACTGGGCCTTGTGGTGTTCCCTCTCTGAAGTCATTCGGTCACCTCTCAGATGGGCAATTTAATGTCCATCAGATGGCATGCTGCGGACACACAAACACACCGTGGGGTGATGAAAACCCTCCCTGCCCTTACACTGGTCCATAGTCTCACATTTGTTGCCAAGGAAAGCCGATGAAGAGGCCACAGCGTCAGCATGCTTGCACACACTTGCGCACGTGTACACACATAAGCACACACCCATGCACAGGGCACGTGCACACACGCAATTGGATCCTGACTTAACCGCATGCCCTGTGAGCCCACAGGTGGGTCATTTAAACCTGTGTTCCTCCACTGTACAATGCTGACGACAACGCAGACACAAACATCAGTCAAAACAGCAGGCACTTGTTGCGCAGTATCAGTCAATTCTAGATCATTTCTGGTCCTGCAGCAAACATCGCCTCTAGCGGGGAAAGAATCCATCCGCCACACCAAGAAATCTGATGGAATTTAATTCCAGAAAGGTTAGAATTAAAAATTCATTTCAAAACTGGCCTCACTTGCTAAACTGAAGTTGCTTATCTGTTTATCTATTCAGTAAGACTTCAGTGAACACTTGGTGTGTGCTAGTTCAACAAGAGCGGCCCACCATGCCTATTGTCAGTGGCGTGACCTTAGAGTGCCAGGGAGGAGGCCACCATGGGTGGTGTGACTTCACCCAGCCAGCAGGGGGCTTTCTACAATAGTAAACACTTCAGTGCCCATCGACCCGCCCCATTAAGTCATGTATTTGGTTCCTTTGTTCCTGTCATATCAATAGGTAAATTACATCAATTTTCTCTTTAATTTTTTTTTTATAGTCCAGGTCTTTTATTTCTTTTTTTTACATCAGGCCATGAATTCGTAGGGAATGGGCTCCAGCAGCTCAGGCTTCTTCCCGTTAGTCCTCACAAAGTGTGCTTCTCTGGGTGGAGCAGGCTGGCGCTTCAGCTGAACCCAGGTGCCCTTCTCTTTGGCTTCCTTTTTCTTCTGGTCATTCTCCTTCACCCGCTTCAGGAAGCTGTCTCTGCTCTTTGAGTGCTTGATGTGTTCAATCCGCACATTAATTCTCTTGGCAAGAATCTTGCCCTTAACTTGCTTGTTTACAATGATGCCCACAGCATTCCGGGTGACATTGTAGACTCTTCCGGTTTTGCCATGGTAACATTTATGGGGCATTCCTTTTTGAACAGTGCCCATTCCCTTGATGTCTACAATATCGCCCTTCTTGTAGATTCGCATGTACGTGGCCAAAGGAACAACTCCATGTTTCCTAAAGGGCCTAGAGAACATATAGCGAGTGCCCTTCCTCTTTCCCTTTGTGTTTGTCATTTTGGCGAGTTACTGAAAGATGGCTACCCTCTCTTTAATTTTTAACCTACGGGAAAACTGGGAGGAAAAAAAAGCATTCAGTAAGATTTTTGATGGCCAATTGGTGTGGGCAGGGGTTATTTTCATTCATTTGAAAAGTAAATTCTGGCTTTCTGGATTTATAATGTTACCGTTCACATACAGTAGCCCTTTCTTTCCCATCATCCTCGCAGCCTTGCTCTGCCCCAGTTGGGACGGACCTGCTGCTCTATGTCTAGCTAGGGACTTATATTAACATATTGCTGTGATTCTTTTGCTGGTATTTAGAAATGCCCTACCCCTCAGCATCAAATATTGCTTCTGTTAGTACACAGGTGTGTTTTTTTTCTCACAGCTAACTAAACTCAAGCTTTGAGGACCCCACATACACACGTATGGCAAGAGGAGCCCACTACTTAAGGAGGTTTTTAATGTTTGGGTTCTTGTTTGTTTTGAGAACCTCACTGTGTCTACCAGTCCCGCCTTATGCTCACAGAGATCCACCTGCTCCTGCCTGGGATTAAAAGCGTGCATCACCAAGCCTGGCCAGGACTTTGATATCTAGGTTTTAAGAAGGTATTTTATGCTTTGAGCCTGCTGAGACCCAGGTCAGTCACTGAGTTATCATTCCCCTTAGCTTCTGGTGCAGAACTCAGCCAAAGAGAATGTCCTAACGACTGTCCTAACTTACCAGTTTCCCAGAGTGATGAGGAGGCTGGCGGACGGGAGACAGCAGCGGTTTGCCCCCTCTATACCCCCGGAAACACAGGTAATTTGCTTTCTGAGCTGCCCACACCGATTTGGGATCAAAAGCCCCACAACGTGACTTCTCTAGGGAGGTGCATTTGACCTGCGAGGTGCCTGGGAAACAGCCTGGATATTCTCAGCTTAAAGCAATGGTTCTCAGCCTTCCTAATGCTGTGACCTTTCGATGCAGTTCCTCGTGTTGTGGTATCCCCCAACCATAGTTATTTTCACTGCTACTTCATGACTGTAATTTTGCTACTGTTATGAATCATACTGCAGAGAACTGATATGTAAGATATTTGACATGCGACCCCTGAGGAAGGGTCATTTGACTTCTAAAGGGGTCTTGACCCACAGGTTGAGAAACGCTGGCCTAAATTTTGAGCCTAGAGCCTACTGAACACCTGGAATAGAGATCATAGATGTCAGTGTGCTTCAGCCTGGAGCTCCTCCCCCCACTTCCTGTTTACAGTCTTTCCTAAGTTAGAAGTCATGCATCAAGATGGTGTCAGCTTCCGACAGACCCAGAACCAAGCAGCAGCAGGCCATATGGGAAGACCCGAGAGCTTCAAGAAGCTTTTTTATGTGTCTCCTCGCTCGTTCACATCCTCCCTCACTGGGGAAGAATGATTCCTAGACCTTGGGAGTAAGAAGGCCAGTATTCTACAGTCTCGTAAGTATCAGTCTTAATATCAAGTGAACAGCCAACAAAACTTCAGCCAGTAGGCACAACCCCACTCGACCACTGGTGTGGAACATTCTTCACCATCAACACAGGGCTGTTTGGTTGACTGTGTTCATGAAAGGGCTATTTTCTCTTATGCTTGTTCCTTAATGGTTTACTCTTGGAACAAAGGCCTGAGAAGTCTCCAAATGAGGCCAGGAAGCAGGGAACACTGGAGCCCTGTAGTAAAGGCAATGACATACCATCAGATTCTGCCTAGTTTATTTACCCAAGTAAATACTTGCTTGTTGTGCTAATTTTTCATGTATTCGCACTACTTATCATCTACTGTATACTGTAAGCTTGAACTAGGGTCTTTGCATATTGTTATTGCTATTCTTTGAATCTTTACACATAGAAAAATCCAGGCCAGGAGACACATCTCAGTGATTCAAAGCACTTGTTGTACAAGCATGAGGACCTGAGTTTTTAATCCCCAGCATCCACATAAACAGCTGTGCATGCCTGTAACCCCAGAGACAGGTGAATCCTGAGAGCTTGCTGGTCTGCCAGTTAGCTGAACTAGTGAGTTTCTGGTTCAAAAAGAGAACGTGTCTCAAAGCTATAACATAGAGAGCGATAAAGGAAGACACCCAGCCTCCAACCCTGACCTCTGTAATGGCACTCATAGGCCCAACTGAACTCCCACCCACCTACCCACACCCATACACCCCCCCACACACAAACAGAATCAACAAAAATATTTCTTTTTTTTTTTTTTTTAAAGGAGAGCGAAATCGTGGCCCAAATTTGCCTCAAGACAGTTGCTTCTTGTGGATGCAGGACTCAAATGCAAAAATACTGCTATTCCATAAAGATAGGAGGTGCAGGTGACCAGCATAGCTTAACAAGAAGCTTTCTGCTGTTCTTATTTTACTCAGTGGACCATGGATGAACTGACTCTGACCCTATGCCAGTGTTGACCACCTGAGACACACTGTACCTCCTCCACCCCCCTCCTCCTCCATCATCATCACCCTCCTCCCCATCCTCATCCTCTTTCTCTTCCTTCTTCCTTCCTCTCCAGGTATTGATATATAGCCCAGACTGGCCTGGGTACTGGGAATGCAGGCAGGGCTAATGTGCTCGCCTGGTGGCTGTTCCATGTTAGATGTGATCTAACTTCCAGCCCCTCTTCCATTCTTAACTCTCACACGTGGCTATAACGCACGCCTTGAGGTTTTAAGAGGAACACGTACACCTGTGCCTTCAGCTTCCAGCTGGCAGAGACCCAGTACCATTTCAAAGTGGCCTCAGAGACGCTGTTAAAATGTAGCTATTGTTTCATTCAGTGGTCTCAGATTTCTGGAACTCTCCATGGTGGAGTCAAAGTGTAATGTGAAGAGTTAACTTCTCTTGTGTACCTCTAGTCGTTTTGACTATCCAGTATTTGAGAGGCACGTTTGTGGCGCCAAATTTATCTTCTGTTCTCCTTGGAGTTGGAAAACGATGTGGCTCAGTCAAATACCAAATAATAGGAATCACTTTCCATAAAAGTTTAGAACAGACTCTGCTTCAGTCATACAGCCCCACACATATTCAGAGGGAAAGTAAGGTTACAGCAAAACGACAGGCTCGTGTCTGACAAGATTGAGACGGCGCCATCGGTTTCAAAGGCTTTCCCCATGCATTACCTCACTGAACCCAGGCAGGGGGAAGAAACTCGTCCCCATTTTGCACAGAGCTAGCAGCACTGGGAAGTGGCAAGTCAATCAGGGTTTCCTGGAGTTCTGTAGGTTGGCTGGCATAGTTGAGACTAGGACTGGTTAGGTAGCCCACGCCGACCTGGAACTCATGACCCTCCTCTCTTGTATTCTGGCAAATCTCACAGCACTTGTGCTGAGTAAAAGGGGGCCAGGCCAGGTGTTGCGCTGAGCCCTGCTGTGTGGGAGGCTTCGCAAGGCCTGCCTGGGTAACTTAACAGCATCCTGTCTTAAGCTTTAAAAAAAAATTCATAAAGGCCTGAGATGTGGCTCAGCAGTAGAGGGCTTGCTTCGCTGTATATACCAAACTCTAAGTTCAGTCCACAATACTATAAGGGAGGAGGGGGCATTGCACCACTATGACCTTTTCAATCACACTGTCTTGTTGTCCTAACTTATTTGGCAAATATTACTGACTAAGCACTGTTTCAATAATCAGAACATTAAAGGTCAGAGCAGCTGAAGAAGTGAGGTCTGTATTACACATACCGATGCCTCAGGGAGACTACGGAGCAAGCCTGTAACCCCAGAACTAGGCAGGGTCCGCCACTGCTCTGAGTCCTGTGAAGCTGGGTTGAGCCTTGTTGGGTCACGCTCACGTGGTTGGCCTCACCGCCCTGGCCTAGCTGCAGCCCTCCCTGCCCCAGGAGCACTGAAGAGCTTACCAAATGCATATGCCAGGAGTCACCTGGGACTCACCAAAACAAAAGTCCTCAGAACTCAAGGGGCAAGCTTCAAGGGCATCACACAGTCGGGGTTCGGAGTCACTGTCCTTTGGATTTTGCCCTTGCCTTGCATCTTTAAAACAACATTCCGGTCTAGAAGATATCTGAAATAACACGAAACCAAACCACCATGATAGCCTCGCTCTTTGTCATAGAGCCCACGCTGCACGCAGCCCCCGTGTGCTGACTCATTGGGTGGGTGATATTGTCTCTAAAACAACCACCTTAAAAGTAATATTGGGGTGGTGAGATGGTTTAGAGGGTGTCTTGGTTCCTTTTCTATTGCTGTGAAGAGACACCATGACCAAGGCAACTTATACAAGAGAGCATTTAATTGGAGGCTGGCTCACAGTTTCAGGGGTGAGTCCATTGTGACAGGGAGCATGGCAGCAGTCAGGCACTGTGTTTTTGAAGCAGTAACTGAGAACTTATATGTTAAAATTTTGTTGTTCTGTTTGTTTGGTTTCTCTGTGTAGCTTTGGAGCCTGTCTTGGAACTAGCTCTTGTAGACCAGGCTGGCCTTGAACTCAGAGCTTCACCTGCCTCTGCCTCTGCCTCTGTGCTGGGATTAAAAGTGTGCGCCACCACTGACCAGCTTCAAAAGCTTATATGTTAAAACAACAACCATGAGGCACAAAGAGAGCCTAACTGGGAATGGCATGGGCTTTTGAAACCTTGGCGCCTACCCCTGCCCGCCCCCCAACACACCTCCTCCGTCAAGGCCATGCCTCCCAGGCCTTCACCAACATCTAAACCAACTGGGGACTAAGTATTTAAATATATGAACCTATGGGGACCAGTCTCATTCAAACAGAGGATAAAAGGAACTTACCTAGAGAGCCTGGCAACTAGGGGACACACCCAAAACGGTGTCCTGAAAGCCTGGCTTCTACACACACACATACATACATACATTGTGACATGTGCGCGCGCACACACCACATGCACTGTCTACATGCAGGAATGATCAAACTGTCTAACGGCAGGACCTAGCATGATGGGCACCCTTGTGATTTTAGCCACTTAGGAGGTAGAGACAGGCGAATCAGGAGTGTGGGCTACAATAAGACCGTGTTTAAAACAAAAACAAGATGGCTACAAGGAAATGGTCCGTTACTGAAGGGCAATGATCACCGGGTTTGGGGTGGTGTAAGTCTTTTGACATGAAGGTTATCATGGCATAACCCCCACCCTGCCACCAGCAATGATGGACTAGCCAGTGTGAAGCACCTTCAATGGTCCCGTCTAGTACCCTAAATGCTCACCGAATGTAATAATTAAACGGCTTTATTTACATTTAACGACTGTTGTCCACAGTTTCCACCAGCTTAGCCGATTAAAGGAGAAAGCCAGCCGGTCTGGCGTTGCTGTGCTCAGAACATAATTACCCCTCACAACCACCCCATCCGCGCTCTCTCTGACCGTTAGTCTTATTTGCTCATCTTTCTTTGTTGTTGTTTTCCCTTTACCCGCGTATCAGGGCGCTTCTAGTGGAATCCAAAAATGTTAATAGATGTTAATTATGGATTTTTAAAAATCAAATCAAAACAGCAAAAATCATGAGAAAAGCTGACAAGCCTCCACCCTTAATCATCTCGGGGTTAAATAATGATCAGGATTCTTTCCGTTGAAGCTGTGCTGCATCTCGATGCTGACTGTCATAAATATAACTGAGCTATTAGGTTCTATTTTTCATTGCAGATGAAATTGATGCAGCTTTGTGTGGTGTAGCCTGACATGGTAAAATTGTTACTCTCTAGGTAGGATATTCATAAAAATGTAATTATCGTAATCAGAACAGTCTTTAGGCTCATGAGCAGGGACTGCCAGCTTCATGATTGGCAGTTTTCAATCACCTCCCGTAGAACAGAGAAACGTCTTAAAGCAGCCTTGGGATCATTAATGTTCCATGGAGAGATGCTATTCCAACCAAATGACCAAGGGTACCAGGGATGCTGACAAGAGCTCCAGAAAGCCTCCTCCGCTAGCCTTGGCAGAGCTGGCTCAAGGCTTTTAATGCATTCCACTGTTTCTTTACCAACAGCAGTGCTACCTGCTGGGAGAGAAGGAAGAGCTCTTTGGTGTAACTCCGGAACCATCGCTTACTACGGATACTCTGCACTTAGTATTTGCCTCCTTGAGTTAACAACTAAACCAAAGACCAGCTCGGGCACTGCAAACACACTGTGCCAGCCGAGAAGGTAGCAGGCCCTGGTCTGTCAGAATGTCAGCGTACTTGCCATCCCAAATGCTAGTTCAGGCATCACACTTCCTAGATTCAGAGCTTAGTTTTATTACTTAGAGACATAGAAGTCAACAAAGTGAAGTGAATGGCCTTCCAGCTCACAGAGAAAGCCATCCTTTCAAACGGGGCCGCCACAGCGCCTCTTTTCACAGTGCTTAGCAGGGGAGCAGCGCCCCTCTGACTCCTGCAAGAACTCTTCTAACATCCTATGACTTAACCATCTTAGTAAGAAAAAAAATCCTACAGCCACGTTCTGTCTCCATAGTCTCCGTTGGAACCCCTCCGTGTGCTCAGATGAGGCAATGGGACTCGCCTGCTCTTCTTTGCCTCCAGCTTTATGCCCCACTCCATGGATGGTGGTCACCTCGGGGCGCAGATAGGGGATCTGAATTAACCAGCCATCTCATGCAGTGGCTTCTCTCTCTCCGTGCGACACTATGACAATTAAAGTTGTCCCTTCCTTGACTGGGATGATCTCATGGGTTCTTCATAGACACTGCCACCCAT